TCATCCTGTTGCACCCAGACTCCCGTCCCCCCTGCCGGCCCTACCCAGCACCACCCGCCCTTTTCCCTCAAACAACCAATCCTGCAACCCTAAACCCGCTTGAAATCCCTAAACTACCTTCACCACCGTATAAAACCTCTAGTCGCCCCTCTACCACCATTAGAAGCCTAGGGTTTATATGCGGTAGGGTAGGTGATTTAGGGATTTTGTGTGGTTATGGGTTGAATTTCGGGGGTTTTGGGCAGCGGGATTGGTGGCTTTGGCTTTTGGGAGAAACGGAGCTACTGGAGAAGGGGAAGGGGTTCAAACCGGTGCGTGGTTACGGAAGGGGGTTCTGGCCACCGCAGTTGTTGGGGGAAGGTGGTTCGTGGGTGGTGGCTAGGAATTTTTTTTCAATTTTTGTAAGTTTTTTTTAAAAAAAATTTAAATTTTCAACCAATTACATGGTGACACGTGTCAATTTAACCTATTATAATAGGTTAGTAACCGTTTAGGGACCAACGAAATGAATACACTAAAAGGAATGGTGTCCTTCAAACAAGATTATTATTCCAATATAGGATTCACAATCAATTACAGAGTTAATTATTCAGTGAAGTCAAGTGATCGAAAAGTAGGGATAGAGGCCATCTCCGATCGGTGAGATTAATATTTACCTAACTGAACCCTTCAAGTCAAACCCAATCGTGCAACCAAACTAAGGCGACAAATTAAGTGAAAGACCTTAATACGTCAAACAAGAGGAAACGCATTCTGACATCGATTTCCGAGCTTAGAGCGTCAAAGCCGAACGACGGACGATGAGTTAAATTCTAAGAATTAACGAGACACACAAATAAGTCAAACAACAAGTGTAGCCCTAGCCTCGGAGTGCCCGAGCCATCCGAGAACTAGGGTAATGTAGCCAACAAGGGTTTCCACCTTGCGAGGCAAGGGCGCAAGCCCACTAGCAGCATGTATGTGCTGGGCAGTCGCACCATGCCTAGCAAGCTATCAACGCTTGCTAGCTGGCTGTTGCAAAGAGGAAACATTGTTGGCGCACTAGGCGTGCTATCAAGCTAGCAGCGCTAGCAAGGTCAACAACTAGCAAGCTTGTTGGCCCTCGCTAGATGCTACTAGCTTGCGCCCAGCAGTCCGTATTGGTGTAGGCAGGCAGCAGCAACAACGGCCCACAAGAAGCGCGGAAAGCCTTGTTGCTCAAGGCAAGGGCTACCAGCTGGCCCGTGTTCATTGAAGCTGGTTTTAGCCTTGGGGAGTAAGGAGGGCCTTGTGGTCCTCACCTTACCCTCCCATGTTTGTGCCACTTGTTTATTGTTTATTTGACTTTGTATGTTATTTATTTTGGAATTAAATTAAATAAAATAATTTCTCAAAGTCCCACATTGATGGGAAATGAAAGGGATTGAGATGTCACTCCTATAAATACACAATTCATACCTTGGGAATTGTTGCAAGAATTGAACTCTATAAAAGGCATCTCTATTGAGAAAACCTTATAAAGAGATCCTTTGGTTAGTAGTGTTAATATTACCCTAGCCGGCAATATTAGCCAAATTTGGGCGCGCCGGTGGACTTCATTGGATGGGTCGTGTTCAAGGGTGAGGGACGGGGGGGGGGGGGGGGGCTGGTGGAGACCCGGCCTCCCCGGCCCAGATTTGTGGCCCTTGATTATTAACTCTTGGCCCCCTGAAAGTTATTATTATTTATAGTGATGAAGACACATTTAATACAACAAATGAAGCTTGTCATATTGGTTAGGTAGTGATTCTTTTTCTCTAAGGAGCCTGGGTTCGAATTCCACCCCTTACTTGTTTTTTTTTATAAAGTTTCTTACGCATATTCTTAGGTGCACACTCATGCACCTACAAATAGGTGTAACAACAGCACAATATGAACATTAGCTTTTTAGAAAGTGAACATAGGCATAAAAAATATGAACATTAGCTTTTCAGAAAGTGAACATAGGCATAAAAATGTGTGATTTTCGATTTCTTATGTGGTGACTTTGTGATTAACTTCGATTGATTAGGTTATACTACCTCCTTTAACATTTAGTTGCAACTTTGGGGTATTATTTGAGAGACATAAAATATTCCTTAGTTGCAACTAAATGTTAATGGAGGTAGTATATGATTTTCTTAATTCTAATGAATTGAATTTAATCTGATTTTCTGCTTTTTTTTTTATCAATGAACATAATCATGCAAAATATGAACATGTGAACGTTAGCTTTTCAGAAAGTGAACATAGGCATAAAAAATATAAACTTATGCATTTCAGAAAAGTGAACATAACATTTCAAAATATGAACGTAAGCATTGGTTTTCTTAAAGTGAATATAAGCATTTAAAAGGTGAACATATACGTAAAAAAATATGAACATAAACATTAAAGAAAGACAACATATACATAAACAGATTTAATTAATATATCATGAACAACACATATTCTTAAAGTGAATATAAGCATTTAAAAGGTGAACATATACGTAAAAAAATATGAACATAAACATTAAAGAAAGACAACATATACATAAACAGATTTAATTAATATATCATGAACAACACATATTTACATTATGAATATTTGAAATTATATATGAACATATAAAACAATATTATGAATATAATGCATTTAATTATGAACATAAAAATTTGAAGAAATAAAAAATAATATGATTATGAAACATATGCATTAAAAGTATTAAATGTTCATTTTTTTATGTGTTCATTTTTTTCATGTTCATATTTTTTTTACTAAATGTTCATTTTGTAGAGCGTAGTAGTGATTTTGACGGATCGCGAATATGTTATCAGGGTTATTAATTTTGGCCGCATTTTTTGGGACTTCCTTTGTTGCACCTATCTTAGGTGCATGAGGATGCACCTAAGACCAATTGGAGTTTCTTATTCAATTTGGGCTTTGATTTTGATGATAAAGCCCAAAGACTTAAGCTACAAGCATACAAATAACCTTAATGACGGCAATGCATCATATTTTGAGAATTGTGATTCTAATCTTGTTTTTATCATTGTTCAAACTTTAGAAGCAAATCAAACAAAACAGGTATTTTTAAAAATTCTTTGACTGATGATTTTGCTACTATGAAAAATCGTAGAGTATTCTACTTTTTTTTTTTTTTTTTTTTTTTTTTTTTGGTAACAATAAAATACTAGCACATTTTAATTTTTTTTCCATCAATCTGTTGTTTAACAAGTCCGGCCCCCAGGACTTGAAAATCCTGGCTTCACCCTTGGTCGTGTTTGAGGCTCTTTCTCCGTTCGTGAGTCTATGTTAGTGGATAATACGCTTTGAGGGTATGATTGTCTTTTCCTATTTCTCTATCTTTTTTGTTTAATTATGTTGTTAATTAATATGCATATTTAGCTGCTTTAACTTGTGTGCAGGTCATGGGATGAGTTTTAGTTCCCTGATGATCTGGGACATCACGAAATCCAACATAAATCCCAAAGTTGGGAATTTATTAATAATCCAAATTTGGAATTCTTTTAAGTGAATACGTAAAAGTTTGAAAATTTTATTGTAGTCATTTGAAAGCCCTACCATAATATTTTAATGATTATATAGTTCATAATTGACATTTTTTTCCAAGTAATTAATTATATTACTTTATTAATGGTATTCAATTGTATTATCAACATTTTTTTGATTTATCAAATTTTTATTTCTATTTGTAAATTTTATTCTTATTTATAGTTTTTCAAAAAAAATAATTATTTTATATTGGATTAAAAGTTTTAAAATTATGTATATAGATTGTAGATTTTATAAGACTAATTCTATCCATTTTATAACGTGAAAATAAACTAGATATATCATTAAAATAATGTGGTAATTATTTTTCAAATGACCGCTATAAAATCATCCGTAAAGGTTTGGATTATTTTTAACAATTTTTCTTTTAATTTTTACTCCCTCCATCTGTTAATAGAAAGCGTTTTTTTTTTGAACAGCAAAAATATTTCATTAATTAAAAGTCACACGACATGTACAATAGAGATTCGACATTAACAAATAAATAAGATATTGAATCAAATAAAATTTTCCTTCATAAAAATTACGATCGTCGAGTAGATCTTGCATTGCGGAGCATCTCCCGCTTATATCGCTGAAAATTACAGCCTTGTTTGAGAGACAATCTAACGAACCTTTGTAGCCATGAGGATGTTTTTTCCTTCTGATTTATCTGTTCGTATTCGAAAACTTGATAACTTTTTCACCAACGAAATAATTTCACGACAATCCAAAAGATCTGCTACCATGGATTCAAAACTAAGAAATTTCTCCCTCGAAAAGAGGAGATAAACCTTGTCTTTCGAAAGAGGTAAAAAAAAAACCCTTATCTTTCGAAAGAGATCGGAAACCCTTTCTTTCGAGGGAGAAAAATTCCTCCCAAAAGAAGGAAGCATTATTATAAACCTAGAAAAACAATAAAGAAACAAGGATTGGGGCTTTCCACCGATTAAAATCGATGGAAGCCCTTTCAAAATTTAACAATGGAAGCTAGGGTTTTGGAGTGAGAAAGGAGGAAAAAGGTTGAGAGGCTAGAAAGCGTTTTTCTAACCTTTATTACTCACACATAATAAAGAGAAAGAAACTTTTAATTTAAGGATGAAAAGATTATTTAAAAATAAATAAAATAATGGCGCTTTTAATTTTACTCCCTCCGTGTTTTTTTAAGTGATACATATTGACCGACACATAGTATTAGGCAATTTAATTGATTTAAATAAAATAAGAGGTAAGTGGGATAGTGCAGTATTAAAAAATTATTAAAGAAAGATAGTGAGGTTAGTAGTTTATTGAAAAGTAATGAATGTGAGAGGAAAGATATAATAAAAAAGTAATAGTGGGTTTGGGTGGGGGTCATGACAGGAGAAAGAAATAATATTTTAATGTATTATTTTACCAAAAAAAGAAATGTATGCTTAAAAAAACATGGCCCAGAAATGTATCACTTAAAAAAAAAACACGGAAAGAGTATGACGGAATCATAATTAATTTTACCGCACTCAAAATCCAAAATCACTAGTGCAGAATTTACAGGAGCAGTGAGCAAGCAATTCATCAATGGCGCTTCAATCAGCATTCAAAGAAAGGCTTGGAGATATGGAGTCCACTCGTAATCAAAGACTTTCTCTCCTCCAGGTTTTTCCTCTTCATTCTTCTCCATTATCATCATCTCTACTCCATACTCTAAAATTGAAAAGTAAACTACCAATTTGTAGGATGAGAAAGACTTACAAAAGAGGAAATCCCTATTATTATCAGCTAAACACGCCAAAATCAGATTACTGGAACAAAGATGTTTGATCTTAGATCAAAAATTTGCATCAGATAACTTCAAAATCTCGTCACTCAAATCCGAAATTGAGTTTTTGGATCGTCAATTTCTATCCTGTGCTCAACAATTGAGGTTCGATTTACTGGAAATTGTATTGAATTCAATGTGATTAAGTTGCGATTTTATTTGAATTTAATTCGTTAGTTTGTGTTGATTTGTTTTGTAATGTGTTGCTGGTTAGGGATTTGAAGGTTGAGGTAGAGGGGCTTGAGCAATTGGAGGAAGAGAGAGATAAATTTTACGCTCTCAAATGTTCTGAAATGAATGATTTTAAGAAGGAAATTCAGAAGTATGCTGAAGAAATTGGTAGCAGAATTAAAGAATTGAAATGTGGTAATGAGAAGGTGAGTTATGTGATGAACTTGAAATTTAGTACTCGCACTATAATACTCTCTCGTTCCTAAATATAAGCCGAGTTGCAGTGGAATATTGTTGATTTATTTGGTTTTAGGCGGATTGTTGATTAAGAGTGAATAAAAAAAGTTGGTGGATGATGGAACCACAAAAGTGAGATATTGTGTTTCTAATTAGGGGCAAAAATTTTGGGAGGAATGCGATATTGAGTTCAAACTCGGTTGAAATCATGAAAATTAATGCTACATAATAATGGTAATTAGGTGCAGGGATAAGGTGAGTTTGGATGATTAACATTAACATTGTATCTAGTTCTGTTTGTACTGTTAATCATGAAAATGATTACTTGGAACTTAGAAAATGGAATTGTTGAGTATGAAAACTGGTATGATTTTAGCATTCATTGGCCTTATTTTTTCAGATTTGTTTATGGAAACAAGAAGTGTTGAGTAGTTGGGGGACACCGCGGTTGATACTGACTGAATAGGAATCCTGAGCACCAAAGTTAGTGTGAGTTTTGATTTTGTTCAAGTGGAGAATATTAACTCTGTGGCTTGCATAAGGAAGTTCTTTAATAAAGGTGATTAAGTTAATGAACTCCCCCACTAGTGTACATTCTGTTTATTATACATTTGAAGTGTTGGTGTTTGGACAGATATGAAGATAAAATAGTCTTCCGTTATACGTAGAGGGGATGTTGATAAGCACATTGATAATTTGATATATGATGTTATTGAGGTTATTGTAGAATGATGAATTTGACTTAGGTTATTGTACCAATATTGCAACCTTTGAGTATTTTTAGCCAAATTTTTACACGATATTGTTTAGGTCATGGATATGCATTTTTTTTTTTTTGAGCATTTTGGTATTAGGTTATTGACAGTTGAATGAGATTTCACATTTTCAATGCTTAAAGTTAATCTTCTTGGGACTTTATAGTAGATCACAAATGCATTTTTTTTCCAACATTCACTCAGCATTGATTTATGATTTGGCAAACCCGTTTAAAGCTGATGTAATTGAAATTTTTGTGCTCACTGTCAAATCACAGATTACTGAAAATGTACATGGAGTATTGGTCATTATGTTTAATGTTTAGCATAATGATTTGCTTATTATCTGTCAGCTAATTTCATGTTATATGTGACTTCAGAATAGCAACCGTGAGGCACAAACTCGTGACATTCAAGCTGCTAAGGTGAGAAAGTCAGAACTTATAGCTTTGAAGGAAAAATTGACCAGTGACCTGGACTCTAATAGACGTTTGATAGCAACATTGCAAGAGCAGCTTCAGAGTCTGTGGTGATATGAAAGTAGTAGGTGTACATGGTAGAAAGAAAAGAGGTAACTGCTACCATCAGAGATTACGCCAGGCTAGTGTACATGGTAGAAAGAAAAGAGGTAACTGCTACCATCAGAGATTACGCCAGGCTAGTGTACATGGTAGAAAGAAAAGAGGTAACTGCTACCACCAGAGATTACGCCGTAGCATCCTACAGGGATGCTCCGGATCGAGTGGTACAAAAATTCATGCATAGATCAACATTTTACAAAATCGGCACATAGTTTAATTTTGACATGTGCTGTTTGATATCATTGCTTAGAGAGAAGGAAAAAAACGAATATCTTAGTGACAGTCAGTGCCTCAGCAGGAATCATTTATTAAGAAGTCATTTGTGGAAAAGAAGCATCCTCAAGCTCTTAGAGGAGATTCAGAGTCGGTTCTATAGAAATGAATATGCTGAAACTTTCCTGGTTTGTGCTGCTTAGATTTTCTTAATATGAAAAATGAATTCAGAATTTGTTTTAAGCAAGAAACTGCAATAAGATTCAAACAAAATAGATAGGTTACATTGTTAAACTGAAAGATAAGAAATTAACAACACTTACATCAGTGATATACCACCTTTTTTTTTTTTTTTACTATAGTCATCCCCATTAATAACAACTTCAGTGATACCATGATATGAAATTACTCTGGTGCGACTCTTGAGCCATTTGAAGAATCTCCCTGACCCCCTGATGTTGGAGGCTTTCCGGTGAATATAGTCTTCAATGCCTTACCCCGCACCGCATTTGGCTTACGCTTTGTCGACTCTGGAATATCATCCTTCTTTATTGGCCTATTTCCTCCATTTTCCATCTTATGCTTAGTTTGATGCAAGCAAACACTAAGAATTAGTTCCTGAAATTCAAGATTAATATGATTCAATTTGTGTGATTTGCAACTTCTGTTTGAAGCTACAAGGGATTATATATATGCTGCTCTACATGCATTTCTCTTTGACATCTCTTTGGCATTTCTTTGGCAATTCCAAGCATTGTTAACTATGTTTCAACAACGGGGATGTTGCATTTCTACAAACTTTCTCTCATTTTTATCTAAATTTAATGGAGAGCTATTTTTTTATATATATGTTTTCACAAACTTTAAAAAAAATCGGGTGTACAATAATTATTGTACATCCACTATAAAGATAGACTAGATTGATCAAAAATTACCCCTAAAATAAATAAAAGTTACCCTTATATGCATAAAAGTAATCCAATACAAATAAAAATTATTAGTTAGAATCACATTTTAAATGACTAAAAATCAATTATTTGTGATTAAATGTAATTAAATTACTATTATAAAACTTTTCTTATTGTCTATTTATATAAAAATTGTATTATGTTAAATGTTACCCAAAAAAAGGCAAAAAGTTACCCTAAAATTAGGTAAAAGTTACCCTTATACTGCTCGATGTACAGTAAAATTAGTATAAACCTAGTGTATACAAAAGTTTTTGATATATTTTTTTTTTGTTTCTTTTTAGGCTTTTCAGCCCACACAGTTTGACTTTGGGCACTAATTACATCAGTTACTTCTATTTCAATTTGCGATTATTTTTAAGGAAAAACATATTCATGTTAGATCTTGTTAGATTCTCTGCATCTATTTTCCAAACATTAATTTTCATAATATTTGCTTATTAACACTTGAAGATATTAATACCAAGTATAAGAGATTATGCGTCGACAAATATGTCTAAATGAAATTTGTCAATTAATAGTCTAATGTGAACCAGAGGAATTACATAGTATTGATTCTAGAATTTACATGTGTATTTCCATGGTATTGCTACCATCAGTGGCGTATCCAGGAATTCCGAACTGTGGGTTCGGAATCTAAAAAACAAACGATGCTCATATATTAATTAAATATTCAATATATAAGTTCAAATTTTTTATTACAAATGGATGGATTAAACGGTTACAAAATAATAAATAAAAAAATAATAAAAAAAACCCTACAAAAGCATTCTTCGAGTTTTATACTTTAAAAGCGTGCTAAAACATTACCACTTCTATAAATGATAAATCTATATTTATATTGCAAAAAATCAATATTACACGAAAAACAAAAATCCCAAGTCCCCAATAAACATAAATTTGACAATGTAAAATTTTTCTAATTATCAATTAAAAGACCAAGTAAAAATTTTAAATTCTAAGTTTCTAAATTCAATTTGTACGTCAACAATATATCCAAACTAATTAAACAAATCAATAATTAATCTAATTATCACTAATTTACAAACAAATAAGTTTAAGAATTAAGAGGAGTAGAGGAATAAGAGGACTGTTGAAACTAATACGTACTAAAGGATAAAAACAATAATAATATTAGATAAGTATGAAGCAAGTAAAATAAAGAACTCAATAATATTTCTTCATGCTTAATTCACCAAATACAAGAGCCGTATATGTAGGCTAACAAACAACACATAATAAGCTAAAAAACTGAAAGTATAATGCCATGATTAAACCCACTAAATAAACTCATTAACTTCTAAATTCATTTGACTCTCTAACTTAACAAAATGACCAACATACTACTCCTAAAATTATTGACCCAACTATGGACTAACTCATAAAGAACAAAGGAAGAAATCAAAAGGGGAAAAAAAATAAATAAATAAACAAAAAAATGAAGTTGGCTAGTGTCGAACCCATGATCAAGAGGAGCCTCACTACTCTATTAGTCACTCCCTTACCAATGTGCCAGAGTTACATATTAGCTTATTTAATTCACAAAAATTTATTTTAACCTTATTTGTTTTTCTTTTTTTTTTAAAAAATAAAAATCAAAACTTATAATTTTTTTTCAAAAAATCTGGGGGTTCAATGAACCCCCTTGAACCCCCCCTAGATCCGCCTATGGCTACCATTGTTACTCGTGTGTTTAGTTTAGGTAAATCCTTCCTTCGCAAGCAATTAGCTAGCTAAGTGAGATTACGGGTGCATTTCCTTTGATGTTCTAAAAAATTTCACAACTAATTCAACGGTTGATAATGGGTCTACTGTTGAACCTTGGGCCCTTTATGTATTGTTTTTAAATTGTGACATTGTGACTCATTCCTCCAAAATTTTTTTAACCCAAATTCAAACCTAAAAAAAAAAAAAGAGGTTTTTGTTAAAAAAAAAAAAAAAAAAAAAAAAGGTTTTCTCTAGAATTTTTCCTTGAGCGGGTTTTTCTAGTTCCCCATATGAATTCTCCTTTGAGAGGGTTGTTCTCCAATTTTCGATTTATTTTGTCTTTTTTAAAGATTTTTCTTCACTTTTCTCCCTTTTCAAAACCTCCTCTTTCACCTAATTATGATGTTTGTTCTTATTTCATTTTTATCTTTTTTAACTAGAATTATATACAACACCAGTTAAATATTAGTTCCTACTTTAGAATAATTTATTTCTCACAAAAAATACCCTAAACTTACAACAATTAACAGAGCTAGTATGTTATTTGAGTCTGATCAATAGATTAAACAATATGTTATTTAAGGTACATAAATAAGTAATGTACTATTGGTTTCAATAATATAAAATATGTTATTAAAGTTTCATTTTTTTTTTTAATATCAATGTTTTACTGGTATATATTCATGTTCTTTGTTTTCACTTTTGTTCTAATATGTATTTTTTTCAAAAATATTTTTAATTTTATAAATATATATATTTATTACATACACACGTATGTATATATATTTATTACATACACGTATGTAGTGCTGTCAAATTTCAAACTGAAACCGTTTAACGGTCCAAAACCAACCTACCCAAATGAGAACTGAACTGATTTAAAATCAATTTTTTGAAACAGAATATCGACCTAAATCGTATTTTAGTAAACCCGAAACTGAATCAATCCGAATAACGTTAAATCGTATAAGAACTGAACCCGTTAATGAACCGAAGTGATTCTAAACCGATTAGAAAGAAAACCTAACCGGAAAATGAACCGTTTCTAACTCGAAACCGCTTCCAACCTAAAACATATGAAATGGGATAAAAACCGTTTACACTGAACCGATAACAAACTGCAACCCGTTTGCACCGAACTGTTTATAAACCGAATTGATTATAAACCGAAATACTTATAAACCGAACCGTTTATTGACCGAACTGCTTATAAATCGAACAGTTTATAAACCGCTTACTATAAAGAGAAGATTAAAATAAAGTTAAAAGATATTTTAAATGAAATCTAATTATACACACATGTTTACTAAAGAGTAAATTATTGTTTTCCACTATAGATTAAGTGTTAGAAACTTAGAATATTATTTGACTTCCCTTAGCAAAAACATTTTGTTTGCTAATCCGTGAGTTTTGTATTATCAAAACAAGGAATATACTGGAGTATACATGAATTAAAAGCTACTTAGTATAAGTTAGGCATATAATATGCTAACTGATAAGCTACATGTAATGTAGAATATTGACAAACCTAAACAATATATAATAATTTTTGAAGCATATTATATCACTAATATATAAAGCCGGTCTCGTAATCAGGTCACAAGATAGAGACCTTGACATTTTTCTTCAGTGGTGCGCCACGTAGGCGACAAATAGATTTTATTGTGATACATATGATGATAAGTAAGTGATATTTGGATAGAGTTTTGGATAATTAATCATAACTTTTAAAAAATATCCTATAATTCAGCTTTATTTCTATCATAAAATTCGTTTCAATAATTCTTTAAATTGAGATCCATTATAATAGATTTAGTTTAGTTAAAAAAAAAAAAATAGATAATAAGCAAAATTAACTTTAGTTTGGTAAAATAACTTTCATTCCAGTCAAAATAATTTAGTTCAAAAACAATAATTTTAAGTTAATAATATCATAGATATATGTTAACAACAAAATAACAAAAAATACACTATTCTATAAAAGAAAACATTTAAAAATATCGGATGTACAATAAAGTATTGTACATCTGCTAGTTAACTTAAAATTATCAAAAGTTACCCTTAAATGAATAAAATTTAATTACCTGTATATATAAGTAGTTATCTTGATATAGATAAAATTTATTAATGTTGTATTGATAAAAGTTATCCAAAAATGTCTAAAAGTTACCCTAAACTCATCAAAAGTTACCTCGATGTATTATTGTATGTGCTTTGGGTGTTTTTGACCCTCGGGAGAGTTACGGCTCGAAGACTGGTCCGGCTCAAGTTGTACATGCAAAAACAACGGAAACTTCTGGTGGTTGGAGCTTCGCCTTCGAAGATCAAATTAGAACTTGAATAAGAGGAAAAAGTGCGGAAATTTAGGTGGGATCTTCTCGAATTCCGATATCAGGTGTTCTCTGATGAGAGAGAAAATGGATGTAATAAATGATTGAATGTGTCCCCAAAATGGGGAAATATCCCCCTATTTATAGGATCATTATGAAAAAGTGCCCCTCCTTAGGTCACTCTGA